TGTGGTTGCTGTTGCTGTTGCTGTTTCCGTTGCTGTTGCTGTTGCTGTTGTTGTTGTTGTTGTTGTTGTTGTTGTTGTTGTCGTCGTTGTCGTTGTCGTTGTCGTTGTTGTTGTCGTGGTTGTCGTGATTGTCGCTGTTTTTGTTGTTCTTGTGGTTTACTGTCTTGTTCTTCTCGTTGTGGTTGTTGTTGCCGTTGTTGCTGGTGGTGCTGGTGTTTGTGTTGGTGTTGGCGTTGATGCTTGTGCTTGTGCTTGTTGTTGTTGTTGTTGTTGTTGTTGTTGTTGTTGTTGTTGTTGTTGTTGTCGTTGTCGATGTCGTTGCCGTTGTCGTGGTCGTTGTCGTTGTTGTTGCTTGTTGTTGTTGTTGTTGCTGCTGCTGCTGCTGTTGTTTTTGTTGTTGTTGTTCTTGTTGCTGGTGGTGGTGTTGTTGTCGGTGTTTTTCTTGCACTTGCATTTGCTTTTTCTCTTGTTATTGCTGTTCGGGTTGGTGTTGGTGCTGGTATTGCTTTGGCCGTTGTTGTTGTCGTCGTTGGTTTGGTTGTTGGTGGTGGTCTTTGTTCTTGTGCTTATGCTTGCTTTTGTTCTTGGTGCTGGCGTTGTTCTTGCTCTTGCTCGTGCTCTTGCTTTGTCTTGTTCATTGTTCTTGTTCTGTGTGTTGGTGTTATAGTTGTTGTTGTCACTGTGTTTGGTGTTGCTGTTGCTGTCCCTGTTGTGCTAGTAGTTGTTGCTGTTTTGGTTGTTGTTGCTGCTGTTGTTGTTGTTGTTGGTGGTGGTGTTGTTGTTGGTGGTGGTGGTGGTGGATTGTGTTGCTGTTGCTGTTGATGATGTGCGGTTTTTGCTGTTGGTGTTGGTGGTGGCGGTGCTATCGCTGGTGCTGGTGTTGTTGTCGTCAACGCTCTCGCTGATGTTGTTGCTGCTGCTGTTGTTGTTGGCGTTGCCGTCGGTATTGCCGCTGTTGTTGCTGATGATGGTGACTGTGTATGTGTGTTGGTGTCTGTGCTGGTGTTAGTTGGTTTGCTTGCGTGTTTGTTGTATGTTGGATTTCCTTTTTTCGCTTTCCTGGCTCACTTTCTTGCTTGCTTGCTTGATTGCTTGCTTGCTTACGTGCCCTTGCCTTCTTGATTGCTTGCTTGCTTGCGTGCTTTCTTTTAGTTTGCTTGATCGTTTGCCTCGTTTGTTTGTTTGCTTGCCTGATTGCTTCACGGTTGCTTGCGATCGGCTTGATTGCTTGCGTCCATGTTTGTTTAGTCGTTCATTTGGTTGTTTGCCACTTGTCCGCTTATTTATTTGCCTGCTTGCTGGCTTGCTTGCTTGGCACGTGGTTCTTTTGTTTGTTTTTGTGCATTGTTTGTCCGCGTGTTTGTTTGTTCTTTTTTTTGTTTGTCTGCTTGTTTGTGTGTATTGTCTTGCGTCGTTTGTGTTGCTTGTGTTGCTTGTGTTGTTTGTTTGTTTGTTTGTTTGTTTGTTTGTTTGTTTGTTTGTTTTTTGTTTTTTGGTTGTTTATTTGTTTGATCACTTGTTTGATTGTTGTGTGTTTGTGTGTTGGCTGTGTTGTGTCCTTTTTTGTTGTTGTTGTTTGTTGAATTGCTTGTTTGATTTGTTGGTTTGCCTGCTTGATTGATTGGTTGCTTGCAAGCAAACAAGCGTGCTTGGATGCGTGTTTGCTTGCTTTTGCTTCCTTGCTTGATTGCTTGTTTTGTTGGTTTGGTTGTTTGCTGGTTTAGTTGTTTCTTGGTTGGTTTGCTTGCTGGCTTGCTAGCTGGTCGGTCAGTGGGTCTGTCGGTCGGTTAGTTGGTTGGTTGGGTTGTTGATTGTTGTGTTATTGTTAAGTTTGTTTGTTTGTTGGTTGCCTGTTCAGCGCATGAAGCACTAGTTTCTGACACTTTCCTGACACTCTGTGTTGCTTGTAGAGGCGACCAATCTCTCCATCAAGTTAGCATACGCTTCATTTGCAGCTGGCCTTGGAGCATGTTGAAGCTCTGGTTGCCACGATTTTTAAAGCTGATTTCCGCATCAACAAACGCGCGAGCCTCTCGCGCCTGACCCTGGCAGGGCAGATCCCTTCCGCGCTGGTGGGCCTTTTGATGAACAGCCCCTCAGCTTTCAGCTGAAGCGGGTGGAGGAGACGAGCTTTGCTTTGCTGGTCGTTTGGATTCGGCCGTCCAAGACCCAGACAAACCTCCTTGAAAGATACATGTTGGTCATTATCGCCATGGTGGTCATGCTGCTTGCGAGCAGCTTTCCCTTGGAAGCCAGCATCGGGAACAAATTCTGAACAGGGATTTCTATGACTAGGCCAGGTTATGACTAATGCTGTTAAAATTGTCCGCAGGCTTTTCTACTCAAAAAGTATCTTACATTGCTTGGAGGTTTGGTTGCAACAAGAACAGGCGTGGCTTACGCACATCGCACATGCTTTGTCCATGTACACACCTTTTTCCCTCATGAATTATGCCATGTGCAACGTGCCGTCTGGCGCGACGCGCAGGACATGGAAGACGCGCCTCCTGGAGAGACTGTAATGGAGGACTGGGTTGGGAATTGGCAAGGGACGGTGATCGCCCATTTGCTGGCCAGCTTTTCTAGATTTCCCAGGAACATACTTCAACATTTCTTGCTTGACACATCATAGAACTCAATGGGTAGATATGATACAGTAGAGGCTATGGTTGAGCATGTTATGTTGCAATTGTTTATGATCAATGCTTTCATTGTTTCAACTACATTGGCTCTTCATCTTCCAGCTTCTTGGAACATGGTGTACCCTTCTTGAACCTTTGCAGCATGACCGGGCCATGTCCTGTCGCAGCCAGCTGGGATGTTCAAGCGATATCAAAACAGCCCTTTGGATGTGTCAAGTCTTGAGTTTTCATGCCTGAATTGGCCTATCGGACTTCCTTCTCCAGCCCCTACTCCTCTTTGGAGGAGTTGTGAATTGGTCAAAGCGACCCCCAACGGATCCCAGCAACCACTGCAATAGGTAACCAGCTTTTTCCTTTGGTTTTTAAAAGGTGGCAAGGTTTGGTGGCCCCAACTGGAATTACTGGAGAAGCCAAGAGAAATTCTTGCGTCCAAACATTCCACACCCCTAAGTGGTTTCCTTGGGGAGCCCGAAGTGGCTGTGGGTCAAATTAATGGTACCATTTTAGGGTAGGTGCACCCATTTTAGTCTATTTTAGTGGGGATTGGCATGTTCACTGGGGGTATGATTTGGATTTTGACCCATGGCCAAGTGGGACTTAGCATCCCTGGCTTTGGTTTAAGAACACCCACGCCATGCAAGTCTTCGCTTCCTCCTCTCGCAGGTGGCAGCTTTCATGGCCGGCAAAGGTGTCCGCTGCGCGGCGGTGAATGCCGCCTCCGCCTACCAGGCGCGCCTCTTTGTCGGTCCACCGGGGCCTTCAGTCGGAGAAACTGCTGTGATCTGTTTCGCTGTTTGGAGGGAGGTGCATGACCCAGCACCTGTGGGAGGGTGCCTAGAAGATCAATTTCTTCTTTGAAGGGACCCTTTGTGAGATTGTGCGGTGGCAACGTGGAAGACCGGGTAGTTGGTGGTTTGGACTGGTGGTTAGGGTTTGGGGGGGCCCTACCTTTCCTTTTGGGTCACATTTAGATGAGTTTCCAGGGTGATGTTCAAAGGGTTCTTTGGGCTTGTTTCAAAGGCATCCAAAGGAAACGAAACAATCTGGGGCAAACATTCTAACGTGTGATTAGCCATGGTTAATATCATCATCAGGGACGTCGCGTTAGTGACCGACCTGTGGTGTTTTGGCTCAAGTTTTGGGTTCCGTCGCGCCTCGAATGGGCGTCGCCGAACCCCTGCGTCGACCGACGGCATCTCGGGGGAGAAAGAGACCTCGGGCCGCCGCCAGGTTGGTAGGGACCAGTCGTGCGGCCTGTTGTCGACCAAGGTTGCGGGTTAACCCTTTTCTTGTTTGGTTTGTTTCCTTTGGTTGTTGTTCTCTGGTGTGTGGGAAACCCTGATCTTTGGGACCGGGGATTGGTTTGCTTTTGGGGAACCTTTCTTTTGTGGCTTGTTTACCCCAACTTACCCATTGCCTGGGCACAGGCTCGTGCCCGAATCACAGGTTATCAGCCGTAGGACTTTCCTACGCGCTTGAGACCATCAACTACAAGTTCAATGACGTCGACCCCACGATCTCGAAGGAGCGTCGTGGATGAGGAGGCCATCCTAGGTGACCTCCGCTCAGGTGAGGACCTACCGGATTTCGACTACGAGGATTTCGAAGCAGGTTCGACAGGTCAGGATCGCAGGGGTGAAGATCCCGGTAGGGACACACCCAGGAGCCGTGGCAGGTACACCGATGATGGAGACGACCGCATTTTCCGCCAGGCCACCGATGATGAGCAGACACGAAGGGTTCGCTCCGATAGGAGCGGCTCTGAATCAGGTCACAGGTGCGGACAGTTCGACTTCATCAGCATGGCGATGAACATGGCCCGCCCTCATTCGGACGACCCGGAGGCTATGCCGACCCGACCCCCGAGATCTCTTGTTCCAGGTGAATCGCAGGTCTCGGATGAGTTTGAGGACAGGCCGCAAGGACCAGGGACTATGGTTTTGGCTCCGAGAGGTATCTCGGGTCGATCCACTGGTTCTCAAAATCCAGGTCAGTTTGATGAGCACGAGGAGCGGAAATTCTCAGACTTCGGATACGATGCTCTGTTGAAATCAACCGCAGGTTGGGGCAGTAGCTCAAAACAGGGATCTGATGCCGGTAGGCCCAACCCTAATACTGCCAAATCTGAGTCTTATGATGGCGAAGATTACAATTTTGCGGATGAGGAGGACCAATCACGCCGAAATGTAGGATCCGTGATGCTGCGAGGCCCAGGAGCCTCTCTCGTGGAGCCGCCAGGGACCTTCGTGCTGACAGGGACGCCCGAAGCGAGAGAGAGAGAGCCAGGGATAGTCGGGAAGTTCTTCGGGGATTGGAGGCCATCCATGACCGGGAGATGTGGCCACACCTTCATTTAGTACTTAAAAAATGATTTCATACTTATCTTTTTTGGAGGTTTTTGACACCTCGCACCCGCGCGTGTGCCCTATATTTTTTCCAGTGCATATATGGATAATAGATGAGTTGACGTGCGTGCATGGTTTGATGTTTCGTTTACTTCCAACGCGTTTCGACTCGGGACCAAATCGTTTTTGGGAAACCATGGGGGATCATCCCTTCTTACCCGGCGGACAAGCGGCTAACCCTGTTTTCCCCTATAACCATGTTCAATCCGTGGTCAACCTTAAGAATTGGGAATATATATTATGGGGGCAAACGGTTTTGAACTCTGCATTTGCAACAGTGACTCCAAAAACCCTATACAGCGTTCAGCTCTGTTTAGTACCGCAACACATCGAATCGCAAGCCCGCTCACGTGGTCTTGCTTTGTGTCCTGGCAAGTCAGATGCACAAGAAGATTCGCGCACACTATAAGCAAGTCCTTCGGAGTGTACATAGAGAGCGCGGCTCAAACCTGCAAAAAGTCAGGATGGCTCAAGTTTGGATGGTGGCTCGTGCCGCCAGGCCTTATTTTTGGTGATCTCAAACGCTTCCTGCATCTTGGGCTTCAAGCCCACCAAGTAGCGTTGCAGCACGGTGAGCGCAGCAGTCTTAGCATGGCATTTCTTGATGATGTGGCCGGTCTTTCGCAGGGAGTCCTCGTCCATGAAATTGACACTGCGGGCCGGGTTGCGGCGGTTCTGAACAAGATCGTCAAACAAGTGGCAGAGGAGGTGGTACTTTGGCCGTGGGTTGAAGACCTTATAGGTCAGTTTCCCGCGGTAGCTGGCATGAAGCTGGAGGTAGAGCTTCAGGAAGGTGTAGCCAAACTCATGGGCCTGCCTCGCCTGAGCATCGGTGAGGGTGTGTTGGCCAGCGGCCCTGGCTTTGAAGAGCACAGTCATTGCGGCGTTCAAGCACCACACGCATGCCTTCAAGGGGCGGGGGGCTACCTCGTCGGTGCACTCACCAAGGAAGTCTGCCAGCCACTGAATCAGCGAGCCTGTCTGGGCGGCTTTGGAGTGGCACTCCACATATTGCTTCTTGCTGCGCATGCCAACCCAGTCCTTGTGCATCAAGAAGTGCTTTGGGAAGCCTTTGCTGTGCGGCGAAGAAAGGAAAAGAGACGTGGCGTGGCGAAAGCGTTTTTTGATATTGGATCCACGAAATGCTCCACCACGCCTCGCATGAACCAAGAGGTACAACACGGACCCGACTAACTCTCGGCCCACCCCCAGATGGATGGCATGCATCAAGTCGATGTGCACGATGCGCAGGATTGACGATATGCCCCCCAAGGTAGCAAGAGCTGGCGGGGTCACCCATGGATCGCTGAGATACAATGTGCTGCGCCAGCTCGCTGTTTCAGCGACATCGGTATATGGAAATGCGCCATCGCGCGTCGCGTCGCACCAGAGGCAGCAAGAGTTGTGATTGTATGTGCGGCAAGAATTTAAGGCCTGGCACAAAAATTTCCAGTCGCCTTTTATGCCAGCCAGCTGCGCCCGCACGCTGCATTCAGCTCGAAGGCAGTCGAAGCTCTGCGCGATGTGCTGCAACGCAGCCTGCAATGTGTAGTTGATGTTGGAATCCTCCTCGTGGCAGTGAACATGTGATGGAATGACGCAAATCAAGTATCGCGACATTCGAGAATCTTGTTGCACACGAACATCGGCGCAGTCCGCCATCCAATGCAGAGCCATATACGTGCAGCTGTTCCACTCGGCCTCGTCGCCGAACAGCAAAAGGGGAATGCTGTCAGGGCCGGGCGCAGTGATACCATGCGCGGCTTGCATTTGCCAATACTCAGCGCTGCAAGTGCCGAGCACATCACGGTAGCCGTGGCGAACCAGGGCCTCGACCTACATGTCAACTGGCAACAGGCACTGTGAAAAGAAACGGTTTGATGATTGAGGCTCCGGCCATGGTGTGCGGTAGGAGGAAGGGCCACTGCGTTTCTACCTGCATGCCCTGCTCGTTTTGCACGGGCAATGTGCAGTACGTCACCAGGGCGTCGAAGGTCAGGTCGGCTGCTCTGAGCTTCTGGTGAGCCCGCGCTTCCTTCAGGGCGGACTGCCTAGGCATGACATGAAGTACATCCCAACTGCAAACAGAACCGCACATGCGTGCAGCTTGGGTGCGTGAACACAGATGAGCTATACGCCGATCCAAGGTTCACAGCAGTCTTCAAAGTTGCTGAGCCTTGGCCAATTTCTCGAGCTATCCTGACAGGGCGTGCCAATGAATGTCGCAT